TGGCCTGCTGTGTTCATCCAGCTCTGCACCTTGTTATCTCAGATTTTCCAGCATCTGCAGTTCCTACTATCTTGTTGGGATATTGTTTTTAAAAGAGTACTCTTATAAATTTGATACTATCCAATTTAAACAGTACTGCAAATCAATTAAAAAAATTCCAATAATGGATATATTTGCACATTGCACCTTACGCTGACAAGTGTTGAAAGTTTTAAAAATCCAGTTAAGATTTAACACATTAGGAGATAAATACTGTAAGCTTTGTATTTTTTTCAACAGACTAAATAATAATCTGGAGCATTTGAACCTCGTTAATTACCATCTGCGGCTGTTTATCATAGAGTCTCAGCAGTGAAAAGCATTGGGGATTACTGCAGTTGTCTGTTACACTTACAGGAATATTAATTCTGTGTTTTAATGTTATTAAGCAAAAAGACACAGGGGGCACTGCTTCATGAACAGATTTTAAAAAAGTTCTGCTAGAACATTGTACATTACATCTATAACTAAATAATAAGACAAAAGTACCTGAATTTACTCTTTACAACTTACATATTCAAACTATGCACAAGGTGCAATGTGCTTTCTTTATTTGAAGCCTTCTAAAATGATCTAGTTTCAACCTTCTGAATATTGCCAAAATGCATACAAGTATGATGGGAAAAGATTGGCACACCTCAAAATCAAAGAAACAATCACATTTCCTTTTCATGTGATGGGGGAGGGATCTTCATTAAAATTCTGTTCCAAATGAACGGATGTGCCTTCTTCAATGAAGCAAAAAAAAACCTTCTCTTGTGAAAGGTTTAAAAGCTGTCCAATTGTTTTAGCAATTTGGAAAAGTATGGGAAGTAAAAGAATTATCTGTATTATACCTATTACAAATTCAGGAAGATTCAAAAAGTGTTTAACAGACAACGATGGACTATTTGAAATGAAGTTATTTTTACAACATGGGGGAATGCAGCCGCAGACAGTGTGTAGCAAAGTCCCACAAACGGCTGCAATAAATATCGTTGTTTTAAAAAAAGATTGATATTGGTTAGGGATAACTGTTAACTAGGACTTCTGGACTGTTTAATGCTAAATGTGTCTAACATGGCACTGCATGGTAGATTTCAAAACCATGACCTCTACCACATCAAAGGACAAGGGAAAAAAGCATGGGAGCACTACCATCTGCAAGTTCCCCCCAAGCAATACACAATTTTCAACTTTGAAGTGTATTGCAATTTCCTTCACGACTGCTCAGACAAAATCCTAGAAACTTCTTTCCTAACAGCACCAAGGACTGCAGCAGTTCAAGGAGGCAACTCAGCATCACCCTCTTCAGGCAATCAGGGATGGGTAACTGGAGGGGGTGCAGAGGAGATTCACTCGGTTGATTCCAGAGTTGAGAGGGTTGGATTATGAGGACAGACTGAGTAGACTGGGATTATATTCATTGGAATTCAGAAGAATGAGGGGAGATCTTACAGAAACGTACAAGATTATGAAGGGAATAGATAAGGTGGAGGCAGGGAGGTTGTTTCCGCTAGCAGGTGAAACTAGGACTAGAGGGCATAGCCTCAAAATAAAGGGAAGCAGATGTAGGACTGAGGTCAGGAGGAACTTCTTCACCCAAAGGGTTGTGAATCTGTGGAATTCCCTGCCCAGTGAAGTGGTTGAAGCTACCTCGCTGAATGTGTTTAAGGCAAGGCTAGATAAATTTTTGAACAGTAAAGGAATTAAGGGTTATGGTGAGTGGGCGGGTAAATGGAGCTGAGTCTCAAAGATCAGCCATGATCTTATTAAATGGCGGGGCAGGCTCGAGGGGCCAGATGGCCTACTCCTGCTCCTAGTTCTTATGTTCTTATGTAATAAATATTGACCTAGCCAGTGATGCCGATATCCCACAAACTAATAAAAAAACATGAGTATTATGGCGTGAGACTTCAAATCCTATACAATATTTAATAAATAGGGATTTACAGAAATTATCTTGACATGTATTCCTTTTAGTTAAGAAAATTATAAATGGATTCCTCTTCAAATAAGAGAAAACTAGAACACAAGCTTCAATTTCACATGCTGTCCTCTGCCTCAACATTCATTCATTTCTCCAGTTGCTGTGCCAGCAGTGTGCACATCTACAAGATGCACTGCAGCGACTCGTCTAGCCTCCTTAGTAGCACCTTCCAAACTCATGAACTCAACCATCTAGAAGGACAAGAGATGTAAACACAGGAACACCATTTCACACAAGTTCCTCTCCAAGACACAAATCATCTAGACTTGTAAATTTATCACATCTCCTTCAAGGCACTCGGTCAAAATCCTGGAGCACCCTTCCTAACTGCACTATATACAAACTGCAGTGGTTCAAGAAAGTTGTTTACCATCAGCCACTTAAGAGCAATTAAGAATGGGCAACAAAATTTAGCATTCCCAGCAATCCTCACACAACCACTAATGAAATTTAAAAATTAAACACCACCTCTATAGGCAAGAAAATAAAACATTGTTGTTTCTATCCACTTGGAGTTAAAGTGCTACTGTGCAATGAAGTTCCATACAGTTACTAAAGTAGTGAAATTTCCCTAAACCTGCATCAATTTTGTTTTAAAATGGTAAAGACCACATTGCTGTGCATCTTTAAAAATGGGCAAAAAAACCACCCGAAGATTTAAAGTGGGGAAAAAACCTAACAGTATAGAATATACTGAATGATGTGATGTAAATCACTTGAGATTTAAGCATTTAAATCATTGTGTGATCATGAATTTGAGACAGATTGTGCTACCATTTGGCAGATGGTTTCGACAGCACAAATATTAAATTTCTTTAGTCAATTTTTCAATGTCAAAACAGAACAATGAAATGCGCTTTGTTTTCTGCAATACATTAAACTCCATGTGATATTTCATAAAGAGAAAGAAGTTTATTTAGAAATTTAGGAAGTCCAAATTAGACGTGCCATGAAATGGGAAAGAAATACTTTGTTACGCCACCTTATAGACCCGCCTCCAGTTCTTTTTATTATCTTTTAGCATACGAGTCCAAAGCATGTTCATAACTTCAGGAAACTGTTCATACATAAATGTAGACCTACAATAAAAAAAACAGTTTTAGCAGATCCAATATATGTAAACAAAGAAAACAAAGCAAAAACAGTGTGCGAGTGGAACCTTAGGCGTTTACTTTGTTCTATTTTTACTCATAAAAGGAAATTGCTGCGGGTGTGTATGCTCCCAGAACACAAGCAATAAATAAGGACTGGCTGTAGGTGGCAGAATAGGTTTGGCTAACACATTTCCTTTTACAAACAGATATTACGAATCAAGCAATGCTGCAAATTATTGTCAGTACATTAACATGAAAGAAAAATGACCCAGCAGAACCCCAGCTGGCTACTAAGAGTTCTGTGTGTTGATCTGACGTACAGCATATCAAATATTTAGCGTTATTACATATGTAACAGATGGTGTGGGGTGAATTGCAGATACAAGCTGGGTCCTTCATTGGTTTTAGACCCATTTGCATTCCAGCTTTAAATCATGGAGAAAACAAAAACCACAGTCAGATCACCTTGCGATCCGGTGTTAAACACTGTAGTTTGCAAAACGTATACATAAATTTGTCATTTTTTTTCTTGTTGTTCATGAAAAGCACTTACTGCCCTGGAAAGCATGTTGTTAAGACACATAATTCCTTTCTTAATAGGCATGATGGATGATGATGGCGGCAATGGGGAATGGAGCAGGATAATGGGGAGAGATAATAAAGTAACTTAGTTTTAGTAAAACTATTTCTCGCTAACTCCAATACAGAACTCTTAAGCTGATTATTACATGCACAGGCCTAATCTAAATGAACAACCACATCTTTGGTGTTCTGATTGCTTAGAACAAATGAGTGTCGCTAGTTAACTTTTCTCCTACTCCTATCTCTACGTTTATCTCACCATTTAATCAAAAATACTGCATCTGAATAAATACTGCAAAGACATTTGTCACACAAACTGCAGAATCAGCATGTGATGCTTCAACCAATTACATCGCAGCCAATTATGTGCCTTGATGTTGCTCCTCAATGCAGGGTTAAGGGGGTAAACATCAACAATTACAGTGAAACATTACATGAGACCATCTAATTTCAATTTTGATCAACCAGTTTACTACAATAGGTAGACAGACTGAGGAATTACTTGTAGTGACTATTTTTTTTAAAAAACAATATATGATACACTTAAGAAACTTCGATCCAAGCAACTATTAGTTTTATCAGAATTCAATATAGTGATCCCAAAAGATTCAAGAAAACGCTTTCCTCTTTTAAAAGCTGATTTGAATCACCAAAACGAATTCTTAACCACAGCTTGTGAATCTTAACCACGTTACACTGCTCAACTTGAAGACTCATATGAAGTTTTATCTTTGTTTATGCAATACACCACAATTTAGCAAACTTTGGATTGTGTCTAGAGAAAGCTCAGATGTATTACACCAAGGTAAAACATTACTGGTTGCAGGTTCATCATTGGTAGTGATGGGACGAATCTGAAGCAATGAGTCCTGTCCAGCTGTAGTCGAAAATGAGCTTAAGCATAGTAAATTAAATAAACTTGAGGCAGTAGAGGGTGTTCAATCACATGGTTGTTTTCAGCCATTTGTATATTGCTCATAACGATGTAATCAGTATAGTTATTTCATAAACAGAGTAACTTGCTAGCTTCTACACCTAGTAACAAATTGTGCACTTTGAAGAAAACAATCTCCTTTAGCATCTTCTAAACTTTGAAATCATGAAAATAGTCAATCATTCTTTTAACAGTAAATTTTACTTTCACAATGAGTAAGGATGATACAAGCAGTTTGTAGGCTTAGTGATAACATCCTTTTCACTCATCTTGTGCAGTTCAATTCCATTAGGAATAAAACCTAGCAAGTCATAAACTGCATAGTCTCCAGAAGAATGGGGTTAAGCTTGCTCCAGGTACAACTTCATTAAGTATTCAAATTCCCACGTGCTTTCACTAGCCCATTCCCATTCAATAGCATTTCACTCGTGAAATTAAATGGTGTAAATTCAATTTCTTTTTTGAAAATGGACTGAAATAGCGACATTACAGATTTTATCCAAACAATAAATAAATCAATGCTTCAAACAGATAGATTAAGCATTCAGTAAAATTATGCATATTTAGAGAGATACCCCTAAAGCTCAACAAGATTAGTACTTACTTGGCGATCTCTGCCATTAGCTGCCCAGAAGGTCCCCACGGATCATCATTGGTTGCTTCTCGAACCTTAGACTCTATCTCTGAATAATTCATAACCACATTTGTGCTGAAATGAAACAAGTCATACACATTACATTAGCATCAAAACATAACCACATGAAAACTTAATAATGACTCACTGACAGCTTTAATGAGATACCTCTATAAGGCGGGGAAAACATTTTTGTGTGTCAGGCTGTGCTCAGCACACATCAATACACATTTAACTTGTTTTAAATCAAGTGTTACTGTTCCATTAGTTTTGCTGAATAATCAAATAACCCATGATACAGTAGGTTTCATCACAGCTGGACCTAGTGCAATTTCAAAAAGAAAAATCCAAGGAAATGAAATAGATACTAATAGTGTGGCATATTAATAACTATAGCATGCCTCTTTCATGGTCATATTCATACATTGGTTTTCAAATGTTTTGGCATGGGGAATTTCATTTATTTCAAATATTGAAATAATCACTGGGACCGTTTTGTCCCAGCCTTTAATCATGTTAGTTACCCAAAGAAAAATACCAGCATCCCAGAAATTTATTTTTATTAACAATTCAAAACAGAGCAGGTTACCAAATTAACAAACGCAAAAAGGTAGAGAAATCCAACAGAGAAAAATCTAAGTCTGCTGAGTCTTTAGAAGCCAGTTTTGAAAATCTAAATATTACACTAACTTAGGTTGCGGTTTAGTTTGTATCACCAGTTTAAAACCAGTATGATATTCAGTGTTCATCATCAAATCAGATTCTCATTTAATGAGCACCTCTTCACATTTGCTTAAACTTTTGGATCCCACCACAGTAGTGAAGCAGTCTGCATCTTCTACATTGTATTTCACACCTTGACACACACACCACCTTTAATATTTAATCTTTCAAATTAAATATTAAAACACAGAAATCCATTTCATCACTTATAAACAGTGGCTCCCTCCTGATCATGTTCATGAAATTTGGTTATGCAATGAGTAAGCTTGACAGCTGTTATTTGCTTCTTTCCTTGAATACAGTAACATGACATATCATATTCTATTGATGACTTCATACCATAACACCATGCTCCTCTTTCAAAGCATCTTGCCCATTAACATTCTCTGCTGCAAGCAATGATTTTGAACAGTTAGATGTGCTTTGATGGAAGCAAATTGCAAAATAAAAAAAGTAGTACTGTCACAAACACTCCTCTTTCTTCTCAAATCTCAACAGCTTACCTTATCTACAATGCAGCACATTAGCTTCCATCATATACAGTCTACACTTCGACCATTTAAAAGCTGGATATCAGTATCTCAGAGATAGCAGGAACTGCAGATGCTGGAGAATCTGAGATAACAAGGTGTAGAGCTGGATGAACACAGCAGGCCAAGCATCATCAGAGGAGCAGGAAGGCTGAAGAAGGAGGGTCTAGGCCAGCAGGCCAAGCAGCATCAGAGGAGCAGGAAGACTGAAGAAGGGGGGTCTAGGCCAGTTCTACAGCTCTACACCTTGTTATCTCAGTATCTCTATTCTGCAAAAGGTAAAGCTGAAGACACATACAAAATCTGCTAGAAAAAGCATGCTCCCATCAGATAAAAATGTTCCAAAAACATGGTTTCGAATCCCACCACGGCAGATAGTGAAATTAGAGTTCAATAATAATCTGGAGTAAAAGAAAAGTCTAAAAGATCATGTCATCAACTGCCGATTGTCGTAAAAACTCATTTGGTTCACTGATGTCCTTTAGGGAAGGAGATCTGTCATCCTCACCTGGTCTGGCCTACATGTGATTCCAGAACACGAGTTACATGATTGAGTAACTGCTCCCTGAAAAATCAGGATTGAAGGAGTAAGTGCTAGCCTAGCCAGTGGGCAAATATAAAAAAAGACTTCCAAATACCCACTTGAGCCAAAATAGAATCAAAGCTTCCTGTACAAAGAAAGTACAAATCTAGTTGCTCAACTCTCAAATGACTAGAAATAAAAACAAAAACAGAAAATAGCCTTTATATCTAGCTTTTTCTTTTTCCATCCATGTTAGAAAACACATTTGCCTCAGAGTTAGAACATAAGAATATAAGAAAATAAGAACTAGGAGCAGGAGTAAGCCATCTGGCCCCTCGAGCTTGCCCCGCCATTCAATAAGATCATGGCTGATCTTTTTGAGACCCCACTCCACTTACCTGCCCGCATAGCATAACCCTTAATTCCTTTACTGTTCAAAAATTTATCTAGCCTTGCCTTAAACACATTCAGTGAGGTAGCTTTAACCGCTTCACTGGACAGGGAATTCCACAGATTCACAACCCTTTGGGTGAAGAAGTTCCTCCTGACCTCAGTCCTACATTTGTTTCCCTTTATTTTGAGGCTATGCCCCATAGTCCTAGTTTCACTTGCTCGTGGAAACAACCTCCCTGCCTCCACCTTATCTATTCCCTTCATTATCTTATGTTTCTGTAAGATCTCCCCTCATTCTTCTGAATTCCAATGAGTATAATCCCAGTCTACTCAGTCTCTCCTCATAATCCAACCCTCTCAACTCTGGAATCAACCGAGTGAATCTCCTCTGCACCCCCTCCAGTGCTAGTATATCTCTTCTCAAGTAAGGAGACCAAAACTGCACACAGTACTCCAGGTGTGGCCTCACCAGGACCCTATACAGCTGCAGTATAGCCTCCCTGTTTTTAAACTCCATCCCTCTAGCAATGACAGAAAATTCCATTTGCCTTTTTAATTACCTGCTGCACCTGCAATCCTACTTTTCACAATTCATGCACAAGGACACCCAAGTCCCTCTGCACAGCAGCGTGCTGCAATTTTTTAACCATTTAAACATAGTCCATTTTGCTGTTATTCCTACCAAAATGGATGACCTCACACTTATCAACATTGTACTCCATCTGCCAGACCTTTGCCCACTCATTTAGACTATCTATATCCCTCTGCAGACTTTGTGTCTTCTGCACACTTTGCTCTACCACTCACCTTCGTGTCATCTGCAAATTTTGACACACCACACTTAGTCCCTAACTCCAAATCATCTATGTAAATTGTAAACAATTGTGGTTCCAACACTGATCCCTGAGGCACACCAATAGCCACTGACCGCCAACCAGAAAAACACCCATTTACCCCTACTCTTTGCTTTCTACTGGTCAACCAGTCCTCTATCCATGCCAATACATTACCTGTAATACCGTGCAACTTTATCTTATGTAGCAGCCTTTGGCGTGGCTGCCTTGTCAAATGCCTTCTGGAAATCCAGATACACTACTAGGGTCAGTTACCTGAATTCAGTGCAATGTTAGTTACAGAATTGTAATCAAGAGCATGGCTTCTTTACAAAAGTGCAAAAATATCTCCATGCATGTAGGATGATTAAATAATCAATAGCAAATTGGAGACCAGAATCTGGTTTTGGAAACAAGTGGACAAATTGATTCATCTGATAATTAAACATATAAAGGAGTGGGATTTCTTTTAATAGAGGTTCAAAATATGCACAAAATCTTGACAGGTGGACGATACAGATGGTGTGTCAAATTGCCCAGTTTTCATGCAATATATTTTATCCTAGATGATGAAACTACTTTTAAGATTCTGAAATTGTATGAGCAGTGACGAGTGCATGTCTAAAATTGAGACATGGGCCATGAGAAAGAATAGTGCTCTTTTAAACTATACTTCTGTCTGGTTTGGAACCATTAAACGTGTGTACATTTCAACAGGATATTTACATCACTTGAAGATTAATTGAAATGCTACTTTTAGTATTTGTACTCAGTTTTTCACCATTTCTTTCAGCTTCTGTGGAAAGATTTTCCATCTGGATTTCAACTAATATGCAATGGGAATTCAATGATCTGACAAATTACTGCCTTTTGGAGCAGACAGCAGACCATAGTGGACATCCCACTTGGCGTCTGCTAATTTGCATAATAATAAAGATCTACAGTTAGTCTATTTGCCATTTTCAAGGTGAAGTTTCATTTTACAAGAGACCTGGCTGTTTATGGAAACTGCCACTTTACTGCAGGACAGAAGCTGTAAGTTAGCAGTTGTGGAAAAAACCCAAATCATATCCATTATCCAAAAGATGTAACAGAATACAAAATTTAGCTTAAGAAGATAGCATTTTATATTATTCTAAATGCATACTGATTGAGATAATCATTACACCAGTAGATACTAGAGTTCCATTTCTATTGCTAGAAGCCCTGGGTTAACTATGAACTGGAGAAACAGAGAACTGAAGTATGTAATTTTCATGTTGCGCTAAAGTGAAACATTAATTTGTAGACATTGGCACTAAATAGACTTCAAGAACTTTTTGCATAATATTGTTCAGCCCAGAGGTAACCTAAGTATTTACTAATCAGCCCCAGTTATCATTGCCTTTCTTCCCCTGGCTTACAGCAGAGACTTCTTCAGAGAACCTGAACAAAAAATTAGGTACACTAAGTTTTCTTTTTTACTTGGCAAGGGTTTGTATAATAAACTGTAAAAATCAACTCAGTCAACATATCTACAGTATTATGGTAACTTGCAAATGTCTAAAGATTATGGTACAAAATGGAGTCAGCAAGTTAAAAATTTCTATTACATAAATCCATTTTTCTACAGGAATTCATGCTTAAAGTAGCATTATTTGTTTCAAGTGGAGAGGATACAACGTGTGCACACTGTACACTTGCATAATCATACGGACAAATGTCACTTAGATCTAAATTGTTTTTTTCAGACCTGATGCTTTTCATTCATAAACAAGAGATATGTTTGGCAAATAGCTCTCTGCTTTAAAAGAACCTGATTGTTAGAGAGTCACATTCTTCTAACAAGCAATACAAGAAGTTGTTGTATCACATGGAATACAAGGATGCAGAAGTTATGCTGTAGCTATACAAAACCCTAGTTAGAACCCCATCAGAGGGGCAGGAAAGCTGACATTTCAGGTCGTGACCCTTCTTCTGAAGAAGGGTCACAACCCGAAATGTCAGCTTTCCTGCTCCTCTGATCCTGCCTGGCCTGCTGCGTTCTTCCAGCTCCACACCTTGTTACCTCAGACTCCAGCATCGGCAGTTCCT